TCCTGGGAAGTAACAATGGCCAGCTGCACTTTTACGATTGGTCCAGCGGTTATAAATATGACACATTATCAAACAAAGTGGTCCCCGGCACGGTTGAGTGTGAAGATTCCACCTTAGCCATGGCCTTCGACAAAAGTGAAAGTCGGTTGATAACCACCCACGGGGATAAGTCCATTAAGGTAGAGCAAAAAAAGGGGAGATAACCCTAAAACATACGCGAAAGGGTTGTATGTACAGGTATTCATGTACAGTACATGATTTGTTTGCCTTATTTCTACTTATTGTGTTCCAATTTGATGTGAGAAAAGAAGAGAGAACATTTTTACGTTTGCGAAACCTGCCTGTTAACGTTTCCTTTTCTGTTTTTTTTTCTTTTTTTTCTTATCCCCGAGCAGATTTGGAGAGAAAATGAAGACGCAACGCCCGAAAATTTCCCCATCAGGTGGAATCCCTACGAAAGCTTCAAATTCTGACGAGGGCTATGGCGCCATTTCACCGCGAATGAGTTTGGCCCGTTGTTTTGCGCATGTGTGCCTGATCATGCATGGATGTAGATACACATACGCGGCTGCGAACCAGTATTTCCCTTTTTCTTTTTCTTTCTTTTTTTGTTATGTCTAGCAAATTTGCACCATTACAGAAAAGAAAAGAAGCTTTCACTGATGTAATTATCACGACAGTGTTGTTGGTGTGTTCTGTAGAAATTCGCGCATTTGGACTTATTCGTACTTAAAAGTCACATTAATGCGTTGCAACGCCGTAACGCCTTTTTTTTTAAAATGTGCCCTCTAACATTGGCACAACGCGTGTCGCGAAAAAAGTATAGCTTTAAATAAAAATGTTGCCATAGACAAATGGCAAATGGGGTATCTATTGCATTGCTATGTCACATATTTTTTAGAGCATGAAATGTGTTTTATCTGACCGTAACATGGAATTCTTCTCCTTGGACGTGCAGAATTTATTTTTTTGAAACTACGCAAATATTCCCTTAGGAAGATTTTTTTTTTTTTTTTCTGTATAAAGTATTCCCATCCATATATAAAATAAAGATGATTTTCGAAGGATGACAGTTAGTTTTTTTGTAATGACTGCAAAAATTGGGAGAGAATGCGTTGACATACGAATATAACAACGGGCGTGTAAGCATACCCTGCTTTCGTGTACTTTCCCATTTTTAAGTTCTTCTTTACAATAAGGCCGTTTGACTGCTTTAAGTGAAAAACGAAATCGCCACATTGTAGGAGGAGAAGGAGCAAAATAAGAAAGAGGAAAACGTTGAGAAATAACATGGGGGGTAGAGTGGACGAACAAAATCATTTGAGAATAAAATGCAGGAGGGAGGAAAATAGAAGAGATGCCATTGTTCGGAAAACCATTTTATGAAGAGGTGTACCATTAGCCGCTTAACTTTATGTGCAAATTTTGAAAGAAAAAGTTCAACAAAGAAATAATTTTTCCAGATGCGTTCTTTTTTGAGTTCTTCAAATTTTTGATAAATATGACAGCGTAAAAGATTAAAACGGCATCATTTCTTGTTAACAAGAAAAAAGAAAGAAAAAAGAGACATGATTCAAGCGCCACGTTCAAAGAAGAAACCGCTCTGAAGAAAATGATAAAAATTGCGAAGAGGCAAATATACTACTCATGTGAAAAAAAAAAATACTACACAAACAGATTATATAAGAAGGTGTGCAGCAACTGCACAAGTTTGAACATAAATAATGTAACAAGGTGTGTGTACTGTGACAGCTTACTAAGCGACAATGATATAAGATTAATAAAGAACACCATTTTTACAGATATCATTAATGTTCGAAAGGAGTGGAAGCCTCTTGACAGAAAACCTATAAGAAGTAACAACTTTTCCACACCGCTATTGAATAATGTCGAAATTGACGATAAATATGTTCGTCTTAAGAAGGGGCTGACAAACAATTGTGATAAATTGTACGTCTATTACAACTGTTATGATTATATTATATTAAATAATCCTCATAGCAATTCCTGTCTCAATCTTATGGTTTTATTTAAAGGCATTATGTATGATGTTAAGAATTTAAAGAGGAAGGACATAAATTGCTTATTGCATTTGTACAACTATGTGTACTTTGTCATTGATATATTTTTATACTTTCTTCTAATTAGCAGAGGGAAATTAATTCACTACAAATACATGTATAATGTGTCCACAGAGGTCGACGCGGATTACAATGAAGAGCTTGTAGATATCTTATTCGAACTGAACAGAATCATTAAGGAGAAAAAAAAAAACATTGTTTTGAAAAATGGAAGTAATGAGAAGGGGAGTCATCTGGAAAATGTAAACCAAAATAACATTATTGAGAAGCTGAATGAGAATTATGAAGATATATATAAAGACGTCTTCAAAAATGTTAAAAACAAATCGCCGTTGTGTAAATTTCTTAAGGAACTAGATGATGTGAATGTTAGAAATAAAATAAGAAGTCTGAAAAGATATCTATACGTCGGTTGTTCCTATCCTTCGCCAATAAATCACTTTTCCCTTCAAATATTATTCCCGCCATTTTCAAATTATAACTTTTTTGCCTTCCCTTTCTATTTTCCCATACGGAAAATATTGCACGATTTGTACGTATATGGCCATGTCAAGAATTATAGCCACTCGGAGATAATTAGGAACATAAACAGCGACAAGTTTATAAAAGAATTGAAGGAAAGTGATTTAACTTCGAGAAGAATTCTGCAGTTTTGAGCGTCTTTGCGTTGAAGAGCTCTAGAAGAAGGAAGCGAAATGTGGGTGTGTCCACGTACGTACGCCATGTTGTGAAATAGAAAAGGGTGCTCGTTTTTTCTCCACATAATTCTTTACGCCAAAAGGAGGCAGCCATCTAGGTGACATTAGCGAACAGCTGGTTGTTCTAATCTGTAGGATGAGGCTCAGTTGTAGGTAAATCTTAAAGGCGATATTCGAAACAACTCAGATTAGGGCACTTGGGGAAAATACTAACGCTTAATTCAAATGGAAAAGATAATAGGCGTATATTGCTCACCGTAGGAGGAATTGTGTTATTTGTATTTGCCCGTATAGTGCCGTTCGAAATCGTCCTTTTTGTGTGCCAGCCCTGTTGGAAGTAATTCACTCTTATAATAGTGGCTTTGGGGGGCATTTATAATTTCCTTATGCATGTCGAAGGGGATAAAATTCTTTTCTGTTCGCTTTGTTTTTTTCTTTTTTTCTTCTTTTCTTTTTTTTTTTTTTCTTTTTGTCTCATGCAGCTCTACCTATGCACTCTACTTATCATTACGTAGGTTAATGCCAACTTTGAATAAGAAGTGTACTAAAATGGATCAGGCGCAGTATGTTTTTTTGAATTAATGTATAGCAGTGTAGTCATTGTATTTACGAATAGCTGCCTTAACTGATAGAAGGTTGGCTTCTAAGTGGATGTACGCGTGCCGTGTTTTGGTGGGGAGATGCGAATACATAGGAACATTTCTGTCCACTCACACAAGTACATTTATATTCATATTAACTCCATTTGGAGGGAAGAGCTGTCTCAGTTTAGCAGTTCCTATTTGAGCAGTCTATTGCGCTTTCATTTCTGCCATTATTTTATTCTATATTTTTTCTTTTTTAATGTGAATGTAACGTTTGGGAATTTTCCATCCATCTGCTTAATTTTTTGGGTATAGAAAAGGGCTCAGATAAGTGGAATGCATTAGGTGCAGAAACAAAATTGCTGGCGCAACAAACTGCGCAGAAGTGAAACGTTAGACTGCATTAAAATTACGACCAATAGTGGAGGAGAACTTCGGTCAAATATGCAGTATGCACATTTGTGAATGTATCAATCGTCGCTTAAAAGAGGAGTTGAATTTAAAATTAAATATAAGCGGATGGGTGAATAATATGATGGAGGAACCAGTGAAAAATGTCTTGTAAGCTTTTCCTAATTATGCGGTGTAACCTCTTAATAAGGACAGACGTGGGGAGGAACCATCGCGGGTGAACTGCACATGCACCATGATGATTTTATCCACTTACTGCGGGCGTATAACTAGAGACATACTAATACAATTACACCATTTGATGAAGGTAAGGAAAAATGCGAACATTCCATTTTAAGTATATCATGAATGTACCATTGAAAGGTGTTTAAATGGATTTAATTCTGCCGTGCTGAAGAAAATTATATGCTTCTTTTAAAGGGAAAATATAAGGGTAAAGCGAAAGAAGAACTCAAGAGGAAAGTTTTGAGAGAAACAGCTCTTTTTTCCCTTATTTTTTTTCGCGTCATACTCTTCATAGACATTTTGTATGTTTAAGAATACGCAGAAGAATGAATATTACTGGTTAAGTCTAATTAGTGCGCATAAATAATTCGAATATTCATAATGCACACACAATACGTGAAACAGGAAGAGAAAGAAGAAACAAAGTAATCTTTTAAAACCGAGGGCATTTAACTCTACGTTGACGTGCCGCAAAGCAGCTTAATTTTTTAATTATGCTTTACTTAGTATGTTTTACGTCCTCGTAGCCATACGCCCTAAGAAGAAATGAACAAATAGAATTAGTTGAAACTTCATTTAAGCATGAGCAGTGCACACCTATATTTGCTCTACTTATTATGCGGTGCCCACGGGAGTTTCATCAGATATGTTACTTATAAAGTGAATGGCCAGGATAAATGATTCATCTGTGTAGTAGTGGTTAGAGTGTACTAAGGAAGCCATTTATTGAGCTGTCGGCAACTTTCTATATCAACTAGGAACATCCTTATTGGGGGTTGCTCCATGCACATGAAGTGTTTTCCATTTTTTTGTTGTACATCATATGGGTTAGTTTAACACATTTAAATCAGGCCTAAATCTGTCTGGTACCAGATGTATCGGTACATATGAGCATATTAAACAGGGTTTGTCTAAACATTTGCACAACCTGAGCTTCGTGTCATAGAGGTGGCCCCCTTACAATTTAAATGAATATAAAGAGCCTTCGATATTGAGGTTGTTCAGCTGGAATGGTATCTTATCCAGGTGTTACATTTTTCTCTCAGAGGCTTACACCATTCCATATTCTTTTCCATCTTCATTCTTACTATATCCTTCCAGTAATCTTCTACATCGGCATCCCAGTCCTTAATTAATTTGTTCAGAGCTTTATGTTTCAGTTTCTTGATGATCTTATCTAAAATTTCGTTATCGTGTTGATTTTCATTTACACGTTTCCTTCCAATTATTTGGCACATATCTGACCATGTTTCAAATATGCGTATCCTGTTGGATGACCTGTTCATCATTAAAGATGCTACTAACCAGATTCCAAGCAGGATTTGAAACCATGAATTATGTTCTTGATATTCTATATATTCCCATTTTTTTCGCATCCTGTCCTCAAGATCGGCCCATTTTTCTATGATCATTTGAAATTCAAAGTAGTCTGATGTGCTTGTTGAAGGGCGACACCTGGGACCTCTTTCCATTTTTCTCATTGCCAAGCTCCTGGCATGGTTGTTTAGTTGACTTTCGGGAATAGGGCTCTTTTCTTGGGTAAGCGCGCTGTGTGTGGGGATTTACACGTATGCATGTAGAACAATTGTAAGAAAGGGTAAGCTTATGCAGAAAAATGTGCACAGATGAAAAAGAGAAAGTAAAGAGAACCAATTATATACACATATGTGTAGAGTAAGGAGGAGCTTCACGAATATAAAATTAATGGCTGATTATAGAGTGATCATTTGCTCTTTTCACTTACGGCAATAGGCATAAAAGGACCAAAACACACGCCACTAAATGTTTACAAGATGAACTAGTCCTGCTTCCATTTAGGGGTAACCACCTGAACTTCTGCTTCGCTAAGTCGCCATTTAGAGATGATTTCCTTGCGAAGGCATTGTACAAATTTGTGTTGCTGCAAATGGTTAACTAGTATACCTGTAAACTCGAGAAATCCGTTATTTTAGATATCAGACTGTTCTTAAATTGGGTTTGCGATATCAAGTTTTTAATATTAGGAACATCCGCAACGCGGGTGAGAACTAGGTGTTTGGTTATTTTATTGCTTTATTATTTCTGTGGTCTCTCGCTTTTGCTATTGTTTGCTGAGTTTTATTAAACTTTGCTAATTATTATAATTTTTTTCTCTAGAAGTGGTAGTACTCTTTCACGTTAATGAAGGAATAAATCGTATAACATTAGTAGATTTCGCGTAAAAAGGGTTCACAGTTAATCTTATTAACCAACTTTTATACACTATACGGCTATGTGTTTTTTTCTTTTTTTTCTTCTTTTTTTTTTCTTTTTTTTTTTTTCTTTTTTTTTTTTCTTCTTTTTTCTTTTCCTTTTTCTCTTCTTTTCTTCGCTTTTTATAAATACAGCTTACAAATTGGTATTATTTTTATATATCAAATTTCACTTAAGCGAACATTTGAATTGATAATATTACCGCACGTAGTAGCTTTACATTTTGCCTGTAGAACAAAATAGTTGTAAAAATAAAAAGGAGATATAATCGTGGTAATTAAGAAGCGTGCATCCTTAAATATAGATCATTCGTTTTATATATTTCGATAAGGCATTACATTAAGTATTTTTATTTTATGGTATTAATTACATAAGGAAAGGGGAAAAAATAGAATAGAATAAAGTGAATAAGATGTCGGAGACGGTGCGACGCTTGCAAGAACCTTTTTTTATTATTGTTGTTGGTTACCAAGATGGTGTTAAGCAGAGATAAATAGAAATACGCAATTTCAATTGTTCAAAGGCAAAAGATATCTTGTATAAGAATGGGTACTCTAAGAAATCACTCCATTTTTTTGCAACTTTTAGATGTTCATAAAGTACATGTATACAAATGACTAAAGAGGTAGCAGTAGCAAAAGGACTGCTTCAAAATTCTGTCTTTCTGAAAGAGAAATTCCCAATAATGCATCAATGTAGTGCGAAAAATTAATAAAAGCAGTCATAACCCTCAGGGCCATCTTCCCCTTGCGCAACACTTAATTGCGGCAGATGTAGCATTACTCTACTGGTAAAGTTGAAGATAATATTTCCGTTTTGAGTTTTATTCTTCCCTTTCTACATTTGACGATTAATTTGTGTAGAACAGTATATTTTTTTTGTGCACATAGTGCAATATACTCCAGAATTATATGCTGTGTGACTGGTAAAGGAAAAAAAGAAAAGAGACTAAGTCCTCTATTAACACAATTTCGAGAGGTACAAATGAGATTCGCATAATTCCCAAGTGTGTGTTGTATCTATTTGGAAAAGAAACATCTAGACCTGTATTAATCTGTTGGGTGAATTACCCTAGCAGTTTATTGCCCCCCTTTGGAGGAGAGCGTTATAAGAAGATAACAGAAAAGATGCAATTCGATTAAATTGTTATGATTTTATTCGAAGGAAGAAAAAACAGAACGGGGTTTTCCGTCAAAGTGGTGTATCCATTAACTGCTACTAGGTGTACATTTCAGAAGGGGCCACTAAGTTGTGCGATTGGTTCTACCAGTGTGCCTGTATTTCTGTCTAGACTGGTACCCAATCCTCAGTTGTAACAGTTTCACACGATAAATTTGGGCGATGCGTATATAACGTATGAAATCCTCTATCTTACCTGATGCAGCAGGATAAATGGAGAAGCTATTTGAACCAATAACATTCGAATAAAAATTAACCCTAAATTGTTCATCTCTGTATTGAAAGATGGTGTATATACTAACATGCAATAATTTTACATTATCGTACTTCATAAGTATAATAATTAATTATGACTCTTTTGAGGGAGGTGAAACTGACAGGTTTACCAGTTGGAGGATCTCGGTCTTCTTCTACTAATTGTTACATTAAATATTCAGGAAGGTTAGGAGTACACTCATATCAGGGACAAAATTATTCTATTTGGTAGGAAGGATGGATTTACAAGAGAGGAGTCCCATCCTAGCAGTGGGACTCGTTGTACATGTGATATATCATACATATGAGGACATCTACTATGACTTGTTCCAAGTCTCAAGTATCGCCCTCATTTTCTGCTAATTTATGGAGATGATCTGACTGATAGATGGGTTAATAGTTGAATTGAGACTAATGCGGCTGTGTAAGAGGTAGTTCCATAACGAGGAAAAATAAAATACCCTTTTAACGGTTAACCGTCCTGTGTACATTTAGATGTGCACAACCTTGTTTTGAAACCAAACTCCTCTTTACTGAATGCAAGTGCTGCACTACAACGTGTGGATAACTTTTTTATTTCTGACAATTTTAGCAGACTGCTGATCGTTCTTTCTTTCTTTTTTTTGGGGGCAGAAGAAGCAACATAAAAATGATCATATTGTGTGTATACACAATGGTTCGCACAGAATAGATTTATTTTTTGCCCATAATTATTAACCGTCATTTAAGAAATGATGTGCACTTTTTCTTGCTTTATACCTTTAGCCCAATTTAATGAATGAATAGACAGGAGAAAAAAAGAAGGGTTATCAACGTGGTCAGGGATTATTAATTCCACCCGCTGGCCATTATATCATACCTCTGTTGATCATATAGATAAAAGCTAGAAATGTTTCTCTTTAAATCCGTGCTAATCTTATCCCCGGTGTTAAAAGGTGTTTATGTATAACATACATCAGCGTGCTAATAATAACATAAAGAGTTCGTATGAAAAATAATTACCTATGAATAGGAGTCTGCAATAGAAGTGGTAAAGCAAGGATATCTTTGTGCATATTTTTTACGGCTCTACATGACTCATCCCTGATGATTCCACAAAATAGCTGTTACCCTTTTGTAATAATAATGTAATGATACACAAGTGAAGTCATCTAAATAATGCGTTTTTATAAATTAGTAAAAAAATTGAAAGATTCAAAGAGTTATTAGAATGACAGGACAGTTTTTATACTAAGTATAATATGATAATTGATTGTTCTATCTATTTTGCATTCTTATAACTTAGTATTTATTGGTTTTTTTTTTTTTACTCCTTTTCTAAATAGATGTCAGAATTTTGTGGCATAGTATTCTATGAGAAAATAATACCTACCAATTTATTGATGTCTTTAAGGGGTCTCAATTTAAAGAAAAAGCATAAAGCGCGTTTACAATACCTTAGGAGAAAAATCACACGCGCGGTAGAACAGATGGACATGGTTGGAAAGTTATTTCAACTACAGTATCTTCTATTCGTACGATTTGATACCCCTCCACAATTATATATTATGTATGGTATGTATATATATATGTGAAAAAATTATGCTATGGGTACCGATTCAGTGACTTCATTACATTTTTTTCCATTGCCTAAAAAAGAAATGAAGGGTAGTATTTGGTTACTGCGGGAAAGAATAAAAATAAAATCTATACATAGTTTTATTTTTTACATTTGTAACTGAAAAAATTAAAAATAGGGGATATTGCCTTTTTTACCATCGATCTGTACATAAATATTACCATTTCACCTGAAGTTGGTATGGCTGTATTTATGGATGGAGGATGATTCAAAATTGCAAAAAGAAAAAAAAAAAAAAAAAAGGAAAAGGAAAAGAAGAAGGAAATATTATGCATATGATAAAATTTAGAATATATTTATAGTGCAGTAGTATTTTATTTATTGTTATTGCTTTATTAATTTAATAAAATTTTTTTTCCCCTCCGAGGATGTTTTAACGAACCTGAAAATCGCGAAGCGGCAATATTATTTTAAGAAGAATTGGAATAATAACTCAATGGAGGATAGGTAAGAAGTTTTACTGGTCTAAAAGGCATTTTGTTAATCAGGCACATGTAATTTTAATAGGAGAAAGAAATATATATATTACTATATACTTTATATGAAAATTTACCGTTTCATTTTTCATTTACTAGATTATGAACAGGAATATATTATTGCATCTTTGTGTTATATTTTTATTTCTAAAGGAAAAAAGAAAATATACATATGATACATATCTGTATATTTTTCCAATTTTTTTAAAAATCTATTTCATGAGGCATAACATTAATAATTAACAATTTTGTGAATTATTATACTTATCTCTATAGAGAGAAAATAAGAATTTAGTATTAAATATATATGTAGATAATCATATTTAGCCCAATATTCTTCCCAGATTTTATTGTGATTTCATATGACATTTAATAAATGAAAAAAGAAATATTTATTCAACTATATATAAATATTTACATTTAAAATATTTTGTATAAGAAAGATCTAGGTATAATTCATGTAATGTTCTTAACCTCATTATTTTTACGTAAGTGTATACTTACATATAATATTCCCCCGTCATAGTGAGCACTGTACTAAATAGTAGAAATATTAAGAAACAAAAATATTTTTACTGCAGTTTGAATGGATCAATAAATAAAATAAACCCCAAGGTAAAAGGCAAAGAGAAGAACATATATCTCGAGTATTAACAGATTTAATGTGACTGTATAATAATACCAGAAGGAATCTACCAGGGAAACGAAATAGAAAAAGAAAAGTAGGAGGGTTATTTCGACCATGGCAACGGTGAAGGAATATATTAGCAGAGGAAGGAAGAAGAAAATCCCTATTTTCGTGAATATTTATGTAGTTACCTTTCTGATTTGGGCATTACAATGTTTTAATAATAATGTAAGATTTGTAAGAATGGAATAACCTGAAGGGAGAGGTGGAAAAGAAAAAAAGATTTCTTTAGACATACTTGCATAGCATTAATTGTAATTGCTAAGGGAAGAATTTGCAGGCACATGTTTCTAATATGTGAAAGAGAGAAATGTGTTTCTTTAATATATTTACCTTCCATTTTTTATTTCTTCCTCCTCCCACGCACTCTTCTTAGTGTTTTACGAATAACTCATGTGAAGATAATGGCAGATACTGCAATACAGAAGGGACATTGCCTAAAGGAGTTAAGAGAAGATCTTTAGGACAAAGGGGAAGCTTATTTGGCCCAGAAATGGAGATACTAGGAGACACAGTTGTAAATTATCTGTTACGTGATATCAAAGGAAATAGGAATGATAATAAAAATGAAAGAAAACCAGAAGTGGTGGAACCAGAATACGACCCCCCTCATCGAGAAAACCCTCATAGAAATCATTATGACAATAATAATGAGAAATCTAATTGTGAGACTCCCGAAGTAATGTCCTATTACATACCAGGGGGAACCTCAGATAGGAACCAGATGATGCAACGTACATATTATCCCCCTCCAGGGGTACCTCGAGGAATGGGTTATAGTGTTCCTAGGGATAAATCCATGATAGGTTATTTAAGACGGTTCCTACTACAGCAAGAATTATTTGCTTCCCCCCTATTGAATAAGATGGCCCCAATAATTCTTCTAATGTTTCTTTACTATGTAATACAAGCTACCATAGGCAGTTTCCGTCATCTTATAGCAATTTATTTCGTGGCCAAGGTCCTAAGGATGCTGTATAATAACAGTGATAGTAGTTAATTGGGGAAGAAAACAGGAGAGGGAACGACAAGTGCGGGGGGACAGCAGAGGTATATAATTTTTAAATAAGATTCTGTTCCCTTAAGAAGTAGACCTATAGATGGCCCGAGGACATTTTAGAGAGTGAGGGTTTATGTGATCCCTTTGCAGAACTTTAAATGGAAAGAGAAGTATGAATCCTTAGGGAAAATAATAGAATTGGTATATAGTAGTTAAGGCTGTGCTAACATTTTCTCTTATTCGCCAGTATTGTATAAAATATTGATATACCTATGGAGTGAGACTATGTAATGATATTTTTATCGTATAATTTTGTGTGTATTAAGGTGTCATTTCCCCATTGTAAAGCTAGGAAATGTAAAATCGTGGTATTATAATAAGCCAGGGAATGAAATTATCAATAGGTGTCTATTGTGTGAATCGGTATGTGTGATTTCTCTTCCACATCAGCGTTATATGTGCGTATATATATACTAAGATGTACATCTTCAATGTACCTGAGGGAATACATATATATATATAGATACCTAGGGTTATGCGTAAATCTGCGCCTATGAAACTATAGGCGTGTCTATCTGTATATATGAATGAATTCTTTTCATGTCGTGTTATTCACTCTTTAGACAGAAGAAGTGCCTGAGTATTAGACGGCGTTTAATTTTTTTAAGGAAGCAGTTTTTAATTTATGTATTGTATTTGTATAGGAGGAGGTATGCAAATATATATGGATAAATCCTATTTATGTAAATCCGAACAATAAATATCCCATTGTGCATATTTAAGTATTAAGATTAGTTTTCCATATCATGGGTTATGCAAATCTAGTTACATTTGATTAATGAATTAATTTCTATATCTCCTATTTACTTTGTATGCACGCTCTTATATTTTGTAGTTGACTCTATATTTTAACGTAATATTTTATGTGTTGGAACTTTTTTTTTTCCGGAATTGAAACATTTAAAATAATAAAATGGCTAGGGAGAAGAGCCAGACTGACACATCTGGGCATGTTTGTTGATTTATCATAGGATGTGTAGCGGAGTCTATCACTAAATCAGGTTCATTGTGCAATAGGATGCTATTATATCCTTAGTACATTTTGCGCATGCCATTGCGGATGGGGGAGGATTTAAAGTGGTTACACCTAATGAATGACAATGTTATTTTTTATTTTTATTTTCTTTCTGATTACGATGTTTATGCAATTATCAGGGAATCACAGGAATTGGGAAATTCCTGTCATTACCAAGTATAAGATAGGAAAATTAGTTAATCCTCCATTAGAATCTCTCCAGATGAAACTTACCCTGATAGATGACTGTCGTAAAACACGCCGGAAGACACCACAGGAAAGAGTAATTATTTATTGGAAGGAAAACCCACCCCAAACCATTTTGCTAACAGGAGAAGGACTTACAGGGGTAGCAGCAATGATTAAGGATTCCTTTCCGTCCTCAGAAAGGATTAATATAAGAAAATAATTAAGTCAGAAGGTTATGGTATATTAAAAGCACAACCAGTGAAAAGGATTATATCGATAAGGAGCTGAAGCCGCCCCCTATGTATTACTTTAGATCATACCACAGCTGCTGTATTAAGATGTCCCTAAGCGTTTCAAACATTCTTATTATTGAAAATTTCAAGAGTAGAGGAATGAAATAGTGCACAGGGGGCTGACAGCCAATATCGTTATCGAAGTGGGAGGAGGAATTTAAGCGTGACTACAGAGGAGGGACATAAGGATTTCAGACTGCGGGGGACGATGTTGTAGTACACCCCATATTGATAATATTTAACTCTATAGGGTGAAAAGACGCCAGGACTCCAAATAATGAATATTAACCGATCTAATTGGAGTAGGGGGAATTTTCACTGTATCTATAACGTATATTAATAGAGGCCGAACTACAAACAGCAGTAGTACTCCGGCTGTGGACGAAATATTCCACTTATGGGGGAGATTCCGATATAGAAGAATCTCCAGGGGTAGTGTGAGGGTCCCTTTTAGTTATTAGTGTCTTATATTAGGCCTCCTGAGGGTGATGAATCAACAACACAAGGAAACCCCCAAAAATGAACAGGCCGGAGGCAGATGGGGAGGGGAATGAAATAACAACTGGAGATATAAGAAGAGAAGACAGAATATGATTACGTTCATACCAGTCGCTAATTTCAAAAAGGTGATTCCCTAATTCCAAAAGGGAAGAAGAACCAGGTACTCACTTCCTAGGATTACCCAACCCCCCAAAAAAGTTATAGCTTCATTTCATTCTTTCGTACATTTAAAAACCCAAGTGAGGGTTCATCGCAAAATCAAATTAGGAATTAGCTGATCTAAGTTAAAAAAGTCTATATATCACCTGCCAAGTATAATATCTAAGACAAGGGTCAGAGCCAGTAATTTCACAATGGTACCTGAACCTATAAGGGATTAAGTATATAATATCCGGAAAGCGAACTAGTCAGCATGTGTGTGATATTAGGAGAATAAATTAAGATAGACAATCGCAAAACAGAAATCAACACTTCCAAGTATCCTCTTCCCTTAGGACCCACCGCTTTGCAAACTAGTAAGCAATTCACGAAAAGCAAAAATAAGGCAGACAAGTGCACGAACAAAGAAGAGAAAGACAACACTAACAAAACAGAGAAAGATGTTACCAGCAAACTAACGAAGGCATAAATACGGACACAATACTACGAGGTTAGCAATTAAGAGTAAGAAGTGAAGGTGAAAGCTTATAACTCCTACCGATGCATACTGCACCCCATAAAAGAAGTATGAGTAAATGGATACACAAAAGAGGTTAGGAAAGTGCAGTATAGAATCTAAGCCCCCCCAAGGATGTAACCTCCAGTCAAAGAGGACCCAGGGAACCAAACCTTTAAGAAATAAGAGAACCATGCCAATTATATGAAAAGAAGGGGCTAATAGGGGGCGAGGGATAATAGTCTGTCCCCTTAAGAATCCCAAGAATTAAGAAATTATCAATAGATGAAGCCAACAGGGGGATAACCTGCCTAAGGTGGAACATAAGGTATAGGAAGACATCGGAAAATTCCTGACACCAGAACAAGCAGCGGAGACTAAAGATAATGGGACCCCACAGGAACCCCCCAGAGATGTAGAGCAAGGTCAGGAGCAGATTAAACAGAAAAAGGGAGTAACATCTAGCGAGCATCAGGAATGACAAAAGGGGTAATGCGTTCCAGAGAAATTAAATAGTTTTCTTACAAGAAGCACCGAAAACGCACCAAGATCAGAAGCAGTAATCAAAAACAACAATCCAACGAGACTAATAGTGTCCTGTATCAGAGAACCCGAGTGAAATTCCTAATGGAAGCAGTAACTCAGAAAGGGAACCCCTATTAAGAGACAGGAGAAGATTAAATTAAAGGAGGTTCAGAAAGGAAAGGGGGACAAGTCCTAGTATATGGGAAGCACGACAAAGTGGCTAAGTGTGCAATATGTCCAAGAAACAATAGCAGAAGAAGCCGAAGATGAAACAAAGGAAGAAAACGTAGTCATTGAATGCTAAGGGTCACAGGGAGTTAAACAAAACAAGTTATTCAAAGTCCCGACCCACTACAGAAAGGACGAAACCTAGCCAGAGAATACCCCATGGAAACTATCAATTACACCGAAGAGCAGTGAGCCCCCAGTAATTAGGCTGAGTCACAGATGGGATTTTGTATTAGAAGGAAAAGAGCAGAGTGTTAAGCTGACAAGGGAGAAATAGGAGCCACTCTCAGGAAACCGGACCAGAGTATGAATCCCAAAGAAGAATTGTGACAGGAACAATACTTCCTGTTCATGAAAGTAGCATTGACCTGACTAGTGGAGCAGGGAAACTCCCTTAGAACACTATACAATACAGGTCCTCAATGAAGAGGAATCGAACAGATGGTCTAAGTACTAAAAATATTTCTCAGAAGAAGAATAAGGGCAGAGGGAGGGAAGCCAAGTAGGGAACCACACAAGAATACAAAGGGGAGAAGGCGGAGAAGAGAATAAAAGAGAAGAGGCGTATAGAGGACTCATGAGGAGCCGGAGGCTCTAGAGTCCAACAAGGAATAAATCCAGGAGACTGAACGGAAGAAGAGGAGGAATAGGGAAGGCTACCCTAACATAGGGTCCAAGAAGTAAGAGGACAATAAGTTATTAAGCTTTTTCCCTAGGACAAGCCAGATGGAGAAACCAGAGCAACCAGAGCCCCAGAGGACACGGGGGTATGAAGGAACACAACTTAATGAAGGAGAAGATTCAAATAAGAGCAAGAAAGTATAGAGAGAATTGAACCAAAGCAGGACAGATACCCCTAAGGACCCCAACGATTATACAGGAGGGGATTAACCCCCTGTCCAAGTCTGGAACACCTCAAGGAGAGACAGGAGATTCTTTCTGGATATAGCCGAAGCGAGAATGCATGGGAATAGGCAAAGATTAGAGGCAGAAGAAAGGCTCTAGGGTGCAAAGGATTCGGTAGCAAAGGGAGAAATTAGAAAAGGTTACTATCAAGGTAGAAGGGAGTAGGCAGCAGTATACAAGAGGAGGTGATTCAGCCTAGGGCCGAACAGGACCGATAATTAAGATGCATCACTATCATTTCAGGAATTAGCAGTAAATAGTTGTGTGGAGGATCCCGCGAAGAGAAACAGAAGTTATAAAAGATTCAAGATGGTGAAGGATGTACCAACTACAGACGGAGAGAAACAAATCTCAACAAAAGGGAAATGGGGCCATACCGAAGAATCTGAACTGAAGAAGAAAGGGCTAGCCACCAGGAAGAGAAGACGTAAGTAACAGCAGAAGTTTATGTAAAGTACCCGCTAAGATGGAAGTGAAGATTAGCAAAAGTCAAACAAGGAAGGATTGAGTTGACAGAGGACATTATACCCAATAACCCCCTAACCTGACTCAGGGGAGATATAGGCTAAACTGATCCAATAGCATACCCCCAGATAAGAAGAAGATGTCGAACAATAAAACAAGGAAGAAGAAAAATGATCCCACAATAGAGGAAGCCACCAGATAACAACAAGCCTGAAGCGTAGTTTCAATACCAGAGTATAGAAGCAGGGCAAACCTGCAGCGGATGAGGCAGCTAGGAAGAAGCATAGGGGACGAGTGAATAAATTAAGTAAGAAATGGCCCCTCTTTTCTAGGAGAATCCTGATTACCCTGAAGAGCAGAAATCGAAAGCGGGTAAAGCGGGGGATAGGGCAGAATGACCTAAGGCGAAAGGAATAGTAGAAGAGTCTCCCCTTGAGAGCAAAATCCAAGCATGAGGCAGCGGAGGAGTACCCATGAGGAGGAGTAGTTGACGCCTCGAGTCAAGGAATGATTAGGAGTACCTTTCAATTTATCCGGAATGCAATAAAAGGTAGATGCTTCTAGAAGTATAGGGGTCACCAGAGCAACAAACTACAACAAAAATCCTTGACTCCAATAAAAATAAGTTTCTATATCAACCGAGTGACCAAAAAATATTTAAGTCAGAGGCGTTCCTAACTGGAAAGTCGATAACGGGATGACAGGAATAATTGCAAATAGGAGAATAGTGTGCAATAACAGAATAATTTTTCCTATAACAGGTAGCAGCACGAAATAAGCGACAAGTACCCTTGAGCCCCCTTGTATGTGGAGGGACTAGCTGAAAAGTGAGTATATTCGTAATTTAACTAGAAAAAGCTTATATGAAACAACAATATTTGCAATCCACCAAGCTCCTATTTAACAAATACGCCAACTGAACCCAGCGGAGAAAATATCAGGCCATATGACACTCCATCTCTCCTGCTAGAGGGACTGCATATAAAATTATAAGGGAGAAGCCTAAAAGAAGATACGACTGAAGAACTCGTTACCGGGAACTGAGCCGTAGTGAGTCGCTAATCAGATTAAGATTCCTAATATCCACGCCGAATATGCGAAAGAAGATGCTCAACAACAAAAACTTTCAGCGACAGCAAGATTGTGAGGGTAAGCGGGGATCGGTAGTGTGAAGCAACACAAATATTGAAGTTCACAGGAGCCAAATAAAACTCGTTCCAGATTAAACGTGGTTAAGCGTTCTCATGAGTCAGTGTTTTATAGGACCTGAGGAAGCCGCTTACAATACAGGGATCAGCATCGGGTGAGGCGTATGACGAAATGGGAAACGAGGGAGCTCAAATTGAAAAGTCTAGGAAAAAGCATCAGCAGTAATTCAGGAGAACAGAAACAGCGCTTGCATATAACCCCCTCCCAGAAATCCAAATCTGAACAGCTACATGAAAGGGCCACAAGTGACCGAACAGGGACCAACCCGATCAATTTACGTGCGTGTAAGTTTAGATCCTTCACTGAGGAGGATAGAAGTCGACTATGCAGGAATCATTCCCCGTGATACCTTAAGGAGGGACGAGGATCAAATGAGCAAGGAAGTCAAAAGAGTCACCTGGATCCAGAAGCATTGAGACTGGATGCCTAACAACGGACCAGACGAGAGAACGAAAACTAGTAAAGATTGGTCCCCAGTGATGATTCCCCATCTAATGGCCTACGAGATGAAGAAAGTGGAGAAAAATGACAGAAACCTTATTCCATCACGCAAAGAAAACGAGAAAAAACAACAAACAGAAAAAGAACCCCAGGGTCTATCCCACAGGGACCATGCCATCAGGGAAAGTATAACACCGTAATAGAAGTTAAGCAACCGAGGCCGGTAAAGTTTGGCTAATCGGTGATGAAGTTTAGGCTCGGCACTCCTCAAGAAGGAGTAGTTGATAATAGGACTCCAGGACCTATTGACATCATAGCCCATACGAGAGTTACGCCATGTTGACGTAATAGCATAACTAAGAATTCAAGCGGCATATACCGTCTCCAGCAAACATAAGCTGTTTCCACCGTGAGGAAAGTACGAATCGCATCGAAGTCTTTCCACACCCCAAAATCTATAGGAGCAGTTAAGACATACCTAGGGGGTATCTTAAGCGAACCACCTCAAGCAACCACGAGCAGAGACTGAGGAACAGGGGGGAAGGCAACAGCTAACGGAGAGGGAGGGAGAAAAACTGGGAGACTATAGCAGTGAATGAGCCAAGGGGAGAAAGTCTATACACCACAGCTGCGAGGAGTACAGTGAGCAGTTCCCGGAACTAGCCAGTTACAGCAAAAGGGCGAGTTATCAGGAAAATCCGGGACTATATGTTGAGAGAGTATGAGTAAAGATGCAGGACCTGGAACAAAAGAATGCATAAAGAATAAGCCCAACATCTAAGCAAAGATACCTAGTGCCAAATTAAGAAAACCACGCCCAAAACCATTTAGGGCGTGTTAACTAATTGCAGGGAAAAGACGGAAGGGGGTCAGTAGGACCCCAGTAGCTGAAATCGGGAAGGATTGTCTGCACCAAATAAGGGGCGACGGTTATAGCACACCCCCCACAGCAACTTGGAGTGAAGGGATGGCCGATGCTGTAAATTCAACATGGGAATTAAGTCATTGGGAGCAGAAATCCCTGAAGAACGGATATCTTCCCAAGGAGGACCCCGAATGTAAGGGGAGCAGCAGCAGCAAATATTGTTATTCAAACTTACTAAAGAAAGGCGAGTCCTCCTGGGGACAGTTGAGTGGATGGATGAACAGCAAATTGTTAACCTCAAATTCTGATCTATGGGGGAATAAGTTTAATCCTGGAGCAGGGACAAAACTGAAGGCTGCTGATGGGAAGTCATGGGATTGGGGAGGAATTGTGCATAAAGTCATGCAGAAGATACAGGATAATCTCCTAGTAAGAAACGAAGACCCAAAAGGTAGCAGATTATGGGGCAAACAGGACTGGTATGAAGTATTAGGGACGGAACACAATCAAAATAGCAGGTGGGATAAGAGTCAAAGGGCCAGACAAGTTTTAATGGTGATAGTCTGCATAATCACAGGGTTAACACATTCAGATACCACTGCAGGATTAAGATACCCAAGGCGGGAAGAATTGTGTGAACGAGTCGATAGAGGTCTGATGGTTAGAGAAGAACATTGGGACCGATGGAAAAGTTCAGGGGGGAAAGTGAGCGAGGGAAGGAAGTGTGAGAGTAAGGGGGAGGGGCATTATGAGAATTGTGAAGATGCAAGTTTGAGTTTAATAGCCACAGTATATGATGGTCTATCACAATTATGTACGGATTGTGGACCCTACAGTATGAACCAATGGATTGAACTATCAAAGGATCCTCCCCGTAGAGGAGGTCGGAGGTATTGTAAACTGACGCAAGGGATATTAGAGTGTGAGAAGGAACGGAAGGAGGGGGTGAGTGAACCTGTCTTATGGATAGACCCCTTAGGAGCATTAGCCGAAGGCGCAAAGATAAAAGCAGATGTCGGGCGGGAACGAGCCCAACTGGATAGTCGTAGTGAAGACTCAAGCGTTAAGCAAGGGGCACCGATGTTAGATGGAAAGTGTACCAACAACCACTTATTAGGGTGTAAACCATCTGACAACGGGCACGCGAGTTCTAAGGCACAGAAGTATACGAGTCATCGCTCAACAGACAATGAAGGGTCTAGAGGTCAAGTATCCGTAGAGCCAAAATCAAGCCCAAACGGCGCCGCAAAAGGGGCAACTCAGAGCGAGAGGGTTCCTTCTGCAGATCTTTCTGGGAGACAGACCAAGGCCGTATCAGTAGAATTATCAAGAAAGAAGGATGGATCCAGGGAAAGTGCAACCTCCAACAAGGATACCCACTTGACCATATCGAATCCCGCCTCTGACCTGAGTCCCCAGGCCGAGGAACGTGGCCTTACCATTCCAGGAGGTCTGGGAACCCTTATAGGAGGTATATTGAGCATTCTATTACTTGGGGGAGCTGCGGCATATGGCATATTCAGGATTTGGGGCAGACCAAGGCGTAAGGACAAGAGAAAAGAGGCCTTCGGAAGGAAGGACAAAGTGTGTTATGGTATGGGCGGCGCCGCAGGGGAAGGAAGGATCAATATCTCAGTCATTCCTTTTCCGGCCTAGAATAGCAAGTGGAGCAGCATTGAGCGACTATGAGTCTAGGTCTGGTTGAGGGTTTAGGGTTTAGGATAGGAAAATAACCCAGACTATTACAAGCTCCTCCCTAAAACAACATGATACCCTCATCTAAAACCTTGAACCAGACCCACAGTGTGCAACTGGGTTCACTAAGGGGTTATGTCGCCCCCAGGATGACCTTCTTTCCATATGTTCATTATCCCCCAAAGACTATTTTATGTGTTCTAATGAGTCCAGATAATGTCTACATTGTGTTAATATGTGTATCTTCTTCGGTTTTATTAGTCTGTTTGTCTGTTAATTATTAGTCAAGTATCGACTGTATCGTTGTTAGAAGACTTAGATTTTCCCAAGTGAGATAGTGGATGAACCCATTCTCTGCCCATAATTATATGTGAGGAGGCGTCTTTGTCAAGAAACGATTGATTCATGAGTCAGTATATCAGATCAAACTCCTATGACGTCGTCTGTGTAGGGATTTCCCTAAATTATGCCTGTGTGAGAATAACTTCTTAGCTCCGTGTGTTGATATTCCCATAGTACCGTCAAGTAGATACTCCATCTGTGTGGGAAGTATTGATATGCCAACAATAAAATTGTGAGGATGAGTACTACTGTGGCCGAAGTAATCTAATTTAAATAGTACTGACATGCGGGGGGTATCATTAATTCTACAGTGTACTTGTATCTCAAGAATACTATTATATGAACGACACCATTGAATGAAGTTCACACATATACGTCCTGTAGTATTATATAAAACAAAGGACTATTTAGGATGCTAGAGCATAAAGCAAGTGTCCATGTTTGTGCAGTATAAAGCTGTACCACCAGGTATTATTATATGAGCATTCAGGGATTATACAAGTACTTCACAAAGAGCTAAATCTTTTGAACCCTGCAAACCGCCTGGAACACATCTACTCAAGGACGAGCAATATACCAGTGGTGATTCCATGTGAAAAGCGTGAAAATATGGAGAGTGCCATTCTGTTGAGTCCACCAAGATTCTGAATGCAGTACTATGTGAAATGTAATGATATTCTAGAGGAGTGTTATCTGAAAGGTTCCATTGCGCCTGCCATGCCGTCTTCTGAAGGACACATCTTTGTAAGGGGTAGGGATATCCTCCAGTGTCACCTTATATAAAGGGTATCCACGTGTTTGTAATATTTCTATGTCGAGAGTAGTAAAACCCTTATTCTATTGGTATTTGAACACAGGATATACACTTGGGGTACCATTACTTGTACAATACTGGTGTGGATTTTCCTTGGTAGTGATGCGCGGGGTTATACGTGTACTATTATTATGTCAGGAGTACAGTCGTCCATGTACTAGTGTTGGATTTTCCTTGGTAGTGATGCGCGGGGTTATACGTGTACTATTATTATGTCAGGAGTACAGTCGTCCATGTACTAGTGTATGTGAAGGATTCAAGGTTTATGCCTTCACTATATGAATAGGAGTGTTGTGTGAACTGCATGGATATTCCAGTATAACTATTGTCTGGAAACTGTGGATGTCTCTGGATCATCGATGCTGAGGAGTCTGGAGATCCGCATACTACTATTCTATAAAGGTACGAGTAGTGGAGCTATATGGATCACCTGGAGTGCTATTATACAGACGGAAGCATGATGTGCCAAATGTTTTGCCTTTATGAGTAGGATTATCCTTGAAGTACGATTCTTTCATAGAGTACGTTAATACAGAAAGTAGCGTCCTGTTTACAGTACTGTTGTGTGGATAATACTTCCATTTGAACAGGATATTCGCTGAAGGAGTATTCATGACTTGGAGTACTGTTATGAGGACACTACAGAGGTATGTATAGTATTCATATCTGCAAAGTGCACATCTGCCTGGTACGATGCTATTTGATGAGTGCCAAAGTTAAGCCGGTATTATTAAGTAAAGTAAAGAGAGGTGCAGAATTGATGATTTAGTTTTATGCCGTATGAGGAGGTGCCACCGTTACGCAACGTGTGAAAGTTGCCGTAGTAACTCCGTATGGGGGGTACACTTCAGTGGGACACATGGATGTGTGAATTGAACGATTACTTGAAGGACACTGATGTTATTTACAGAATAGTTTGTCCTGATGAGTACAACTGTCCTTGGAATAGCATTATTTGAAGGGTTTTCATGTTGGTTTAATGGCTGGATCATATGACTTGGGCGATTCTGCAGATCCCAGAGGTGGCTTCGAAACCTATTGTCTAAACAGTAGAGCTATGCCAGGGGCACTATAATGTTAACCGTATTATAGTGTCAAGAATACTGATTTTCGAGGGGTGTCATTATTCGTAGGGTAATATTCTATGAAGTGCATGAATATTCTACAAGGGTAGATGAAAAGGAAGTATACATGTGTCCCCATTTCCCATGGTGACGAATGCGGAAATTCTCGTAGTACTGTTATATCAATGAATTAATGGCTGATCTATACTGATATCTGCAAAGTACTGTCCATTTAGGGGCATAATTGCATAAAATGTACGGATGATCTGCGGCGCAGTCTTGTGAGTGTACTCACATCTCCCTAGTGTGATGTCTTGGAGTGCACACTTGTGGTGGGATTCTGGATACCCCCCATGCACAATTATTAAAAGAGGTGGAATATCATGGCCTACTGTTTAGGCTTCTATTAGAGGCAAAGCACCATATTCCGGAATTCATAGCACTCCCTGGAGTGTTATTATATTAACAGCCGTATAATGTGTGGAACTGCATGATTGGGGGAGTATCGCTCAAGCAAGTGTACACATGTGCGTGAAGGAGTATTGTCTAAGAATTACTTATTCGCTCCAAATAGTAACGTCCCCAAAGTACTATTATGTGAACCATGAGGATATTTGTGGAGTATTCAAATATTAAGCACAGCATTGTAAAATGCATACTACTTTACAGGGAGTACTATGATTTAAAGTGTATGAACATGCATGCCGTATCATTATATTTATCCGTCGTCCATGCCTACAATGATATTGTATGGATGACCCCATTGTATGAAGTGAACAGATATATGTGGTGTATTATTATATAAACAGTAAAATCATATAGACTGGACAAATGTGTCTAAAGTGTCGATGCTGGTAAAGAATACAACTGTATCAAGAATATTATTGTATGGGGTTACCGGTTATGGTGTTATTTTAAGGAAGGGAAAATATTTTACAGCTAACGGAGAGCTTGTAGCACATTCATTTGAGAGAAATTATTGTCCCTGCACTCATATGATATCTAGAAAGCAGGGAAAATAAGAAGTGGCCTTCTGTGGAGTGCAATGATATTCAAAATACAGTATTGTATCACGGATACCGATATTCTCAAAGACCGTCCTTTGAAAGATAGGGATTTTCCTACAATACGCCCATCGAAAATGCAAAAGTGTGTGAATTGCGGGCTATGTGTTCCAAATTTCGGTTCCTATTCTTTGGGCAACACCAGTCATTGATTAGTATAGATCTCTATGAGATAGTATTATGTGAAGAATTGAGGGCTACATTCTAAGGAAGAGAGCAAACCATTAATTACGCGCAGGTGCAGGCGCTATAGCTGTGTCGAATGTATTATTACCGGAGTAATACAATAGAGGCAGAAATACTTGCATATGGACAATGCAAGGATTCTAGCGAAAATGTTCTTTGTAATGTAGAGTGTCGCAGGAATGCTTCTATGTGAAGGCCTAATAACATAGCGTTTTAGATACGAATAATTGGAGAACGTGACTAATTGAGGAATAATGATCTATGTGTAGTATTATTTAAAAAATATCACTCCCCCCAGGACTACGGGCCTGTAGAATGTACGCTTAGCATACAGCCCTATTATATGAACCATGCGTCTATACCTCCAGTATTATTTTGTGTACTGTATACATGTCTCCTGAATATTATTCTGCACCAGGTTCATATTTTACAGTTCTTTTATTTGGAGATTATTATTGGCTGAAGATAACACATCTCGATGGGGAACCATGATATCAGGAAAATAATCGTGCGGGTTTTATGACTGGAATACATCTATATGGAAAAGTTAGGCCAACGGGTGCTATTATTTGAAGAATAGAATGACGCGAAGGATATACACTTGCTTTGAAAACTAATATATAAGGAATACATTTTTCGCGACCATTATTAAGTATGTGAGGAGGAGACATTTCTCAAGAGTATCACTGCATAAACAGTAGGAAAATCCGGAGACTCGCTATTGTGGAGTCGTCAAGATTTAAAGCAGGAGGCACCATAATTTAAAAAGAGATATTTAGTAAGAGATAATAGAGTGGATTCAGCGGTATTCTTGGAGGGGTTCCAATCACTGAGCGTTACACATATATACAGAATACGAGATGCCTCCGGTATATTTGTATTAACTCTAAGAATCGGCCTTACAACAGCTGTTTAGAGGATAAGCTTCTGTCATGGGTAATATTCTATGTAAAACAGTGCTCTGTGAGGAGGAAAATTGTTTAAGATAATACAAAGGTTTAGGGAGTCGAATTCCTTGAGGAGGACGGCAGTTGTAAAAATGATACCATTTCACCAATACATTGGCTTCTAAAATAATTCACTTCCAGGAATACTCATATACCAATCCTAAGGCTATTCATGATATATAAGAGACTGAGGGATACTATCACTGAGAAGGGTTTCAACATACCAAGGGTGTTTATATATAGGAAGAACTTTTTATAGGCGAAGTAACATTGTAAGTACAGTAATACGTCGTGAATTGTGATTATTCCTTCTCAATATTATTGTAATATAGATTCAATAATTATCCGGGTACTATTAAGAGACAATGATTACGGAAGATTTGCACACCTGGTTTAATCTGTAGTATTTTCCTCTTAACAGGACTCGAGATCGATGCCATACTATTAAAATATAACAGTTATGTAAAATGAAGGATTAAACTTCTTATACCCTAGAGAAGAATAGGAAATTATAAAAGGAATAGTACTATATAGAACGGGCTAT